AGGCTTGGGTTCAATCGCCCCATTCGCCCAACATAAAGCCGTTCGATTTTTAACTGTTCTGGTCAGTCGAGGGTACTCTCCGACGGCAAACGCTACAATGTTTTGTCATTTGGCATCAACAGCAATTTACTCGCACTTGTTGAAAAACCGAAGGTACCAGAGGTCCAAACGCTTTCGGGGCCCTGGGAGCGGGTCATTGGTGAAGGAGGGATCTACTTAACTCAAAGCCAAAATATTACTTTTCTATCTGTTTTTCTCTTCGTTTTATATGAATAAGATCTTCGGCACTTTTGAATGGGATGACCTAATATTTTCTACTTTCTACCGCTTTTCCGGAGTTTTTTTTTCGGCGGTGGACAGGTCTCCAACTTACGGCGCGCCCTGATCCACGCAGATCGTGTGGGACGAGTAGGGCCGACCATTGCGCCCTCTTTGTTGGTGCGTCCCTGTCCATTCCGCTAATGGGAATGAGGAGCACCCTAGTGAGGGAACACAATGGTGGATCCCTACCCCTCCCACATGAACATATGAACAGCGTGAGATGTACCGTTGTATATATGGGCGATTCTCAAAGAGTGTTACTCGAATCAAATAATAGGTGCAAGAGGTGAATAGAGGGAAGGGGGGGGGTGTGGACGATTTCAACTTAACGCCGCAAAATCACAGCTAATCCCACGCAGCGCAAAATTAGATCAGTGACAAATACAAGAACTCTCTTGATCCTTTTGTGTCCTTTTTCCTGAATAAAGGCGCCGCTTGAAACCGCCGTGGTGATCCATTTCTGAACCACACGATAAATACACCATACACTCTATATCTCGGAGATGGAAAGGGCGTGGCTGCATACTCTAACGTGTCTGACAACGGTCGTGGTGTCTCATGCCGGACAGAGTTATGATGGCAACAAAAGCATCCACCAGAAGGGTAGAAGCCGCCGCCTTTGATAGGGCGCAACTGCGCCCCTCTCATCGGTGGGATATGGCGTGTAGCTGTGGCGGAGTCGAGTAGTAATGTGCCGTGTAAGCAGCAATTTCAAAGACGCCATTCAACCCTTTTAGTGCCTTTTTCCACCTTTCAGAGAATTGTTTGATTTCCTCGAGTAAACAACTCAAACAACTCACCATGTACCCGCTGTATAATTATAGAAGACTTTGTTGACAGTATTGCGGAACTTTGCCCGTGTTTCTCGATAGAACTCTGACTTCACTTGGTTACCTGCAATAGTTGGTCACTAATACACCTGAAACATTTTCTTTATACGTAATGAAACCGTAAAACTTTCAAAAACCATACATTACAGTTTTACACGAATGAGCTACAGTCTTAATCGCTGCGGACGTTTCAGACGGTATGGGTTTGGTATGGGGCTGGACCACTTCTCCACCAGCTGTTGAAGCGGGTAAGAGACAAAATTCGGTAGAAAACGACCGATACGATCGACAGTTTTGTTGCTGGCTCGCTTCAGCAACTCGTCTCGGGTTTAGTGCCGCACCATGCCCATTACGCCTGACAAGCCTCTTCATCCGACCGTATACACTCCTTATCCCTGAGATGGAGTAGGCGTGGCTTTTGAGCATGGCATAGGACGGGTTACTCGTGGGATACTTCAATTTGAAACAACTGCCATCTTGTTCTATGTTAGATGTAGACATGATTACGACTGTTCCAAAATGAAAATATCTCACGAAAACCTGGGCCGCCGCCATTTCAAAATTAAGTACGCAGCCACGCCTACCCGATCTCAGGGATTTCGAGTATATTTGCCCACAAGAGCGGTAGTTTCCATTTCTTTCAGTCAGAATGAAGGTTCTACAAGCCAAAGAAAATCACCTATTCTTTCAAAAAAGTACTCCAACAGCTCGTAGTTCCAGCAGATGAACGCGTTGAGATCAACAGGGAGAATCTGAAGTGAAAGGCAAGAATGATTTTCAGGTGAATGCCAGTTTTATTTGCTGATTCTCTTCAGAAATAGAGTACCCGAGCGACGATAGCCTGAGCATTGCACATTTTGTTGGGCATTGTCGTGGTACAAGTCACCTATTCTTTCAAAGAAATACTCCAGCAGCTCGTTATGTATGTCCTTGAACTGAAAAGACCTGCCTATGGTGCGTGCGCATTCAGAGGCACATTCCGCGATTATCCTACGGGCGGGGAGATAAGCGAAGAGTCACAGACGTTGCACGCTCTCTAGTGAATACGCCGCTCTTATTTCTATCATTGCTAACAAGAGGGCCCGTACCCGCCGTACAGGTTGCAGGCCTTGCCGCTGCCTAGCACATCTTGCGCCTGAGCGCCTTAAGCGCACCGATGGACGCAGAAAACACCAGTGAACTCCCTCCATTTCATGCTAGCCGCGTTTGTTTAGGTCTTTATAGCCTGGACCACACTACCATAAACGGCTACATCGCTTTTTAGGTACCGGAAACCTCTACTCTCTCCATGTGGCGGTCTACGATAGGATGTACAGTTCGAACTTCAGAAGTGCGCCTCCTCCACATTCAGCCTGACACCATGCCATTTTTGCACCTGACTACTCATCTCTTTTGAAACAACTTACCAGGTAAAACCTTTGACCTACTCGCACTGCGGCTTGACTGGAGGGATCTCCAGAAGGACACTAGGCTCTTATATAGGAGATAGAGCCAAGAATCCTGCAAGTCCGCTGGAAGCCAAACCGGCATATGGGCCGAAAAGCAAGAGCCTCCTCGCTGAGATCTACCCCACTGATAGGCCACTGCTCCCGGAGAATCTTGACCGCTCGCTTGAGCCAAGTTCAGCTAGGCCAATTTTAGTATCCCCAACTTTGTATCCAGTTTTCACGAGCTACTAACAATATTTATGGGTGGTCAGACCATCATGACTGTGTTGAAGGGATTCTTGCAACTACACCTGCGCATTCTACCCTTCTTGCCACTAGTAGGCTCAGCAATTCTCATATGAAAGGGTTATGATGATTAGGGAACCAATCCCGCTTCCTCTTCTTGGGATAGCAAATGCCATTGATAATTGTTGCCGTACGCTGTATTCGAAAATCCTTAGTTTACTGTGAGATGAAATGAAATTCTCTTACATTTTTTAGTTTCAATGTGTAGATGTAGTCCGTTGTCGCTGAAACCATACTGTAGAGAAATCCCAACGGACTCGGCGGCAAGCCATTGGCCACGTCCTGAAATCTCCAAGTCAATTGTATTAAAATAATGGCCACTTAACAGGAGCTATCTATGAGCATTCGTGGCTGTTACTGCCCAGGCGGTTCACTGAGTTCGAAAAAAATGGCAGAAATACGGAATAAGATGGATGAAGGTGAGGGGGGTAACATACATGGAGCTCGACTGTTCTGCTAGGGAAAGTTATGGCGAAGAGGTTTTGAGGAGGAGGAGGCGAGCTCAATGACCAATTTTCCTTCTTCAAGAGCACCCTATTAGAAAATCGAGACCTACTCAAAGTGCTGGCTACGCTGTTGTTTTCCACAGCCTGAGTAAGGATTCCAAGCTCAAAGGGTGTACTCATTCTGTACATGCAATGTCACTCAAACATGAAAAAATTATTGCTATCAAACAGCTTAATCACCTGCCAGAACCGCGTCTTGTCCGGAACACGTAGCGCTTTTTGGATATCGACAAGATAGGATTCCGGTCGGGGCATGTTACTCCTCGTGCCGTACCGGAACACCTGGTATGTGACACCATCGATAGTAACATTCACCTGAAGAGAAGGAATTATTCTATGGAAATAAGGCTATGGCGACCACCCGTCAATCAGATATAAATTTCTATTAAGTTCTACCGCTTTCCGATGGAGAGCTGCCTGAAAACGGTGCCAGAGAAATGATCGGACTAGGGGAGTTATCCGCCATCTGACATAGGGGAGTTAGGCGCAGGAGTTGAGCTTAGAGCATCGCTTAAACATGGCAACAGATCATTTATCCCCGGAGTGACGATGGAGTCAATCACGGTGCACATAAAGAAGCTTTGTATGGGTTGTTGGCTACCCGCTCGCGCGCCTAGCGTCTTTGGGACAGTGGGCGGATTGGTCTTTATAATTGGCCACATCCCTTAAAAGCAAGCGGTCCCGATACTTGCTCGATGTGAGCCCATTAGCACAAGCTTTACAGAAAAAGTGGACCTGTGACTTTCTCTAAGGTTACTTCCCTGGCCTCGCCTTCATCACTATGGTTCCCCCCCCCCCTCCACCAGCCCGAGTATCTCAGAGATGCCAACCTTTCTCGGGACGGAAGTAAAATGGAGGAAAGTCCCGGCCCTGTTCCGAGAAGTGGGGAGGGGCATTTCGCACTTTCGCTGGTTTCCGTTGCTAATTCCTCTTGAAGTGGTCTCTTGTCAAATGTAAACGAAGCTCACACTATTGCATGGGTTTAAAGAAACTCA